TTTTGGGGGTGATGGGCTTATTTAACTTAGCTTGATATTCTCCAACCCCATCCATTTAGTAGCAAATGCCATAATTTTATTCCTCTTTAAAGCTGAGTAATATTCCATTGAATATATACACCACATTTTCTTTATCCACTCATCTATTGAAGGACACCTAGGTTGGTTCCATAGTTTAGCTATTGTGAATTGAGCTGCTATAAACATTGATGTGGCTGCATCAGTGTAGTATGCTGTTTTTAAGGCCTTTGGGTATAAACCGAGCAGTGGGATAGCTGGGTCAAATGGTGGTTCCATTCCAAGTTTTCTGAGGAATCTCCATACTGCTTTCCATAGTGGTTGTACCAATTTGAAGTCCCACAAGCAATGTATGAGTGTACATTTTCCCCCACGTCCTTGCCAACATTTATTGTTGCCTGTATTCTTGATGATCACTATTCTGACTGGAGTGAGATGAAATCTCAATGTAGTTTTGATTTGCATTTCTCTAATTGCCAGAGATGTTGAATACTTTTTCATATATTTGTTGATTGACTATTTTTTTCTTCTGTGAAGTGTCTGTTCAGTTCCTTAGCCCATTTATTGATTGGGTTATTTGTTTTTTTGGTGCTAAGTTTTTTGAGTTCTCTATATATCCTAGTTCTTTATATATCCTAGAGATTAATGTTTTATCGGAGGTGCATGTGGTAAAAATTTTCTCCCAATCTGTAGGCTCTCTTCTCACATTATTGATTCTTTCTTTTGCTGAGAAGAAGCTTTTAAATTTGAATCCATCCCATTTATTGATCCTTGGTTTTACTTCTTATGCTTTAGGGGTCTTGTTGTGAGGAAGATCCTAGGCCCACATTGTGAGGATTTGGGCCTACTTTTTCTTTTATTAGGCACAGGGTCTCTGTTCTAGTGCCTAAGTCTTTGATCTGCTTGGGGTTGATTTTTGTACAGGGTAAGAGACAGAGGTTTAATTTCATATTGCTACATATGAATTTCCAGTTTTGCTGCCACCACTTGTTGAGTAGACTATCTTTTCTCCCGTGAATGTTTTTAGCACCACTGTCTAGTATGAGATAACTGTATCTATGTGGGTTTGTCTCTGTGTCCTCTATTCTATACCATTGGTATACATATCTATTTTGGTACTAACACCATGCCATTTTTGTTACTATAGATCTGTATAGTTTAAAGTCTGGTATTATGATACTTCTTGTTTCACTTTTCTTGCTAAGGATTGCTTTGGCTATTCTGGGTCTCTTATTTTTCCAAATAAATTTCATGATTGCTTTTTCTATTTCTATGAAGAATGTCATTGGGATTTTATTAGGAATTGCATTAAATCTGTATAACACTTTTGGTAGTATGTCTGTTGTGATATTTTCTTCTTTGTCTTCTATTTTAGTAATTTGAGTTTTGTCTCCTTTTCTCTTCATTAGCAAGGCCAGGGGTTTATCTATTTTATTTAGTTTTTCAAAGACCAAACTTTTTGTTTTGTCAATTTTTTTTTTTAATTTTAGCTCTGATTTTAATTATTTCCCGTCTTCTACTGCTTTTGGTGTTGATTTGTTTTTCTTTTTCTAGGGCTTTGAGATGTAGTGTTAGGTCATTTATTTGTTGACTTTTTATTATTTTAATGAATGTGCTAAGTGCAATAAACTTTCCTCTTAGTACTGCCTTTATAGTGTTCCAGAGATTTTGAAATGTTGTATCAGTGTTCTCATTTATCTCTAAGAATTTTTTTCCTTGATTTCTTCTACTATCCATTCATCATTCAATAGTTTATTATTTAGTTTACATTTGTTAGAGTAACTTCTATTTTTTTACTTTATTGTTGATTTCTAATTTCATTCCATTGTGGTCTGATAGAATGCAGGGTATTATCTCTGTTTTTTTTGTATTTACTAAGAGTTGCTTTGTGGCATTAGATATGGTCTGTTTTAGAGAAGGAGCCATGTGCTTCTGAGAAGAAAGTATATTCACTTACTGATGGATGAAATATTCTATAGATGTCTGTTAAGTCTAAATTATTGATTGTATTATTTAGTTCTATACTTTCTTCATTTAGTTTTTGTTTGGAAGCTCTGTCCTGTAGTGAGAGATGTGTGTTAAAGTCACCCAGTGTTATTGTATTGTGGTCTATTTGATTCTAAAAATTGAGAAGGGTTTGTTTGATGTATGTAGATGCTCCATTGTTTGAAACATAAATATTTATAATTGTTATGTCCTGCTGATATATACTTCCCTTAAGAAGTATGAAATATCCTTCTTTGTCTCTTCTGATTAACTTTGGTTTAAAATCTACTTTATCTGAGATGAGAATGGAAACTCCTGCTTGTTTACATGATCCATATATGTGATAATTTTTTTCTCATCCTTTCACTTTCAGCCTGTGGATGTCTTTGCCCATGAGGTAAGTCTCTTGAAGACAGCATATTGTTGGGCCTTGCTTTTTAATCCAATCTGCCAGCATGTGTCTTTTGATTGATGAGTTTAGGCCCTTAACATCCAAGGTTATTATTGAGATATGATTTGTATTCCCTGTCATTGTGATTTATTCCTGGCTTTTAATTTGACTTAGTTTCTCCTTTGGTTAAATGTTTCTTTAGTGTGGATGCTCCCTTTGCTGGTTTTTACTTTTTTTCCCTCTTTATTCTCATGGAATATTTTGTTGAGAATGTTCTGTAGTGTGGGCTTTCTAGTTGTGAATTCTTTTAATTTTTGTTTATCATGGAATGTTTTAATTTCATCTTCAAATCTGAAACTTAATTTCGCTGGATATAAAATTCTCGGTTGTCATCCATTTTCTTTCAGAGCTTGAAATATATTATTCCAGGACCTCCTAGCTTTGAGGGTCTGGGTTGAGAAATCTGTTGAAATGTTAATTGGTTTCCCCCATACGTAATTTTATTTTTTTCTATCACGGCCTTTTTAAGAGTATATCTTGGGGGGCTGGGGATGTGGCTCAAGCGGTAGCGCGCTCGCCTGGCATGCGTGTGGCCCGGGTTCGATCCTCAGCACCACATACAAACAAAGATGTTGTGTCCACCGAAAAATAAATAAATAAATATTTTTTAAAAAAGAGTATATCTTGGGCTGGGGATGTGGCTCAAGTGGTAGCGCACTCGCCTGGCATGCATGGGGCACTGGGTTCGATCCTCAGCACCACATAAAAATAAAATAAAGATGTTGTGTCCACTGAAACCTAAAAAATAAATATTAAAAAATTCTCTCTCTCTCTTTAAAAAAATATTAAAAAAGAGTATATCTTTATTCTCTGTGTTAAGTCATTCTCATTATAACATGTCTTGGTGTTGGTCTTCTGTAATTTTGTACATTTGGGGTCCTGCAAGCCTCTTGTATTTGATTTTCCATTCCATTCTTTAGGTTTGGGAAATTTTCTGCTATTATATCATTGAAAAGATTGTGTATTCCTTTGGTTTATATCGCTGCCCCTTCATCTGTTCTGATAACTCTTACATTTGGTCTTTTTATGTTAACCCATAATACTTGGATGTTCTGTTCATGGTTTCTTATTATCTTCTCTGCATGTTCGACTCTTCTTTCAGGATTATATATTTTGTCTTCATTGTCTGAGGTTCTGTCTTCCAAGTGGTCTAGTCTGTTGGTGATGCTTTCTATTGAATTTATAATCTGGTTTATTGATTCCTTCATTTTGAGGATTTCTGGTTTTTTTTTTTTTCACAATCTCTAACTCTTTATTGAGGCGATCTTTCACTTCCTATATTTTTTCTTTGATTTCACTCCTTATACTATCCTTTAATTTGCAGATCAATTTAACTATGTACATTCTGAACTCCTCCTTGGACATTTCTTCTACTGTGTGATCAGTGGCTTCTGCAGTTAGAACATCTTGGTTTGTTTGGGGTGTCTTATTCCTTTTTTTTTTTATGTTGCTTGTGTGTTTTGCCATCTAGCAGTATGGATCTAAGACAGCACAAATTCTATCCTGTAGACCTGTAGTGTCCCTGAAGGTTTCCAGCTCCTCACCTTTAGTGGTGAGACCAATATCAACAGCACCCAGTATAAACAATATATAGCCTTAAACCTAATAGCTCCCACTAAGGCATCTACTACTTTCTTGCATTAAACCAAAATGATGAGTTCAATAATTATAGTATAAACAGAAAATTTGCTAAAATGATTTACAATTTCGAATGGTGGACAAGAAAACAGAAGTAGGATAGTATGCAGTTTTCACAAGGGAGGAAGAAAGAAGCTAGAAGCAAAGATTCACAGGAAGAGTGGAAGAGGAGCCAACAGAGATTGGCTGTGGGTTGGAGAAAAGTTGGAAAGATAATCCAAGAAAACAGACAAGTGATAAGAAAAATATGAACAAAGAAAAAAATTAAAAATATACAAATATAACAAAAATGCAAAACACCATTCATATATCATTGTCCTCCATACACTGATGCATAAAAAACACTCTAATCCAAATATGGTAGTGATGTTAGAGAATGGAAAAATAAAATAAAAATACATCTTGATGGAATGTTGAACTGTATCCATCAGCATTCAAAAGTTTCTCAGCCCTGTCTCTGAGATCTCATGGGAGCACCAGGCCCAGAACTGCCCTCAAAGACCCAGTAACTATCCCACCAATATGGGCTTCAGATACCTCAAACCCGGCCACACTGCAATCCCAAGATCTCAATGCTGCTCCTTCTTGCAGAGAGACCACCAGGGATACACTCATGCAAAGGAGCAACCCTGAGATGCAGCAGCAAGACAGAGGCCTCCAGCACTCCTAGCAGGAAGACCCTAGGTGTCTCCAAACCCACAGGCACCCCCACACTGGGCCTGCAGGTCCTGACTGGAGTCCCCAGACAGATGCTGTTGTGGTGGTAAACCTGCTGGCACTCTGGCCCCATGCCCTGGTTAGTCCCCCAAGATGGGTGAAGCCACTGGCAACCAATCCTGGAGTCTCCCCCGCAGCAGTCCTCTAGGCAATGTTAGCAGTGGTAGTGCTGGTGGTTGGTGGCAGCAGGTCAGCAGCAGCGGTACTGCAATGGTGTCTGCAGTGGTGGCTGCAACTGCAGCTGTGGAGGCAGCATCACCCAGATGATCTCCGGGGGATGCAGCAGGTGGCTGCAACTGCATGGGCAGCAGTACCCAGAAAGAAGACCTCCAGGCGACCTCGGGGTGGCAGCAGCAGTATCAGAGGCAGCTGTGAAGGCTGTAGTGGTGCAGGCTGCAGCTGATTGGAGAAGACACCTCCTGGCATCAGCAGCAGTGACCTCAGAGGTAGCATTGGAGGTAGTGTCGGCTGTGCCCAGAGAAAAGACCTCCAGGCTCTTTGTAATTTTTAAAATTAAACTTTACTTTTAACTGATACATAAAAAGAAAAATACATTTTCCCTTCTCTCTCCCTTTCCCTCCCACCTCTCATCCCTGTTTAATGTTAATCTTCTTCTCATGCTCTTCGACCCTACTCTGTTCTTAGTTACTCTCCTTATATCAAAGAAGACATTTGGCATTTGTTTTTTAGGGATTGGCTAGCTTCACTTAGCATAATCTGCTCTAATGCCATCCATTTCCCTGTAAATTCTATGATTTTGTCATTTTTTAATGCAGAGTAATACTCCATTGTGTATAAATGCCACATTTTTTTTATCCATTCATCCATTGAAGGGCATCTAGGTTGGTTCCACAGTCTAGCTATTGTGAATTGTGCTGCTATGAACATCGATGTAGCAGTGTCCCTAGACCCTCAGAGTTATACAAAAGTACATACAAGAGGAAGTGAGGGGAAGGGGAAAAATAATACAAGGGGGACAAACGAATGTCAGTAGAGGGGGCAGAGAGAGAAGAGGGGAGGGGAGGGGAGGGGAGGGGTGATAGTAGAGGATAGGAAAGGCAGCAGAATACAACAGACACTAGTATGGCAATATGTAAATCAATGGATGTGTAACTGATGTGATTCTGCAATCTGTATATGGGGTAAAAATGGGAGCTCATAACCCACTTGAATCAAATTGTGAAATATGATATATCAAGAACTATGTAATGTTTTGAACAGCCAACAATAAAAAATTAAAAAAAAAATAAATAAATAAAGTTTGTTGGCTTGAAAAAAAAAAAAAGAAAAATACTACATATTAATGGGTTACTATGTAATGTTTTGATACATGCATATATTGTATAACTTTTTTGGGGGGGGCGGGTATCAGGGATTGAACTCAGGGGCACTCGACCACTAAACCACATCCCCAGCCCTATTTTGTATTTTATTTAGAAACAGAGTCTCACTGAGTTGCTTAGCACCTCACTTTTTGCTGAGGCTGACATTGAAGTTGCAATCGTCCTGCCTCAGCCTCCCAAAATGCTGGGATTACAGGCAATCGCCACTAGGCCTGGCTACATTGTGTAACATTTAAAGAGTTAAATACATCTGAAAACTTCATAATTTTTTTTCTGAAAACTTCATAATTTTTTTTTCTTTTTTCTGTTACTAGGGATTGAACTCTGGGGTGTTTTTACCATTGAGCTACATCCCTACCTTTTTTGTTTTTTTATTTTGACACAGAGTCTCACTAAGTTGTGAAAGGTGGCTTCAAATTTGCAATCCTCCTGCCTCAACCTCCTGAATAGCTGGCCATTTACCTTTTCTTTATAACGAAAGCTTTCAAAATCTTTTCTTCTAGTTTTTTGAAATGTACATTGTTACATATAGTCACCCTACAGTGGAGTTTCTTATATATTCTGAATATCAACCTCTTGTCAGATGTATCTTTGCACAATTTTTTGCAACATTATTGTAAGTCTGAAAGTTGAAACAAACAAACTAAGAGAACTCAGCGGAATAGAAAATAATATTGATGATAATAATAATGTTGTTTATATATAGCTGACCAATTCATTAAAATCTCATTTCTCCAGTGAGACATGGTAGGGACTGTGTTAGTAACTATTTTGTTTCTTGGAGCTATATAGAATACAAGACGAATAATAATAATAAAAAAAAAAGAATAAGAAGAACTAAAGCTAAGGCAGTGCCTAGTAATTCTCATGAAAAAAAACAAGGAAGAGGCTCAGAAGCAAGACTAAGGCCTTAGATATACATGTACTAACACCCAGAATATGGGTAATAAAGTGAATGTAAAATTTTAATACAAGCAGAAAAACACAATTTTAAAGGTATTGTTCAGTTTCCATAGAATGGGACTTATGGCCGACATCTGGAAAAGGAAGAATAAACCTGGTTCAGAGAGATTCCATGTAGAAGGAGAGGAGAGCAATAATTTATCAAGAAGGTATAGCCAGGGCTGGGGATATAGCTCAGTTGGTAGAGTGCTTGCCTTGCATGCACAAGGCCCTGGGTTCATTCCCTAGCAACACACGCACGCACGCACGCACACACAAGAAGGAATAGATAGTAATTCATTGGCTGCAGGGTAAATGTGTTCATCAAGAATGAAAAGGAGGGGCTGGGGATGTGGCTCAAGCGGTAGCGCGCTCGCCTGGCGTGCGTGGGCCCGGGTTTGATCCTCAGCACCACATACCAACAAAGATGTTGTGTCCACCAAGAACTAAAAAAATAAATATTAAAAAAAATTCTCTCTCTCTCTTAAAAAAATATTTAAAAAAGCAGTCATTTATTTAAAAAAAAAGAATGAAAAGGAGAAATGAAAGTGATTTTAGTTGTGAAGGTATATAAGAGCGTATATCTTAGGTAGATAAAAGAGATATGAAGAATTTATAAAACTATTATAGAAGCAAGAAATGATCACAAACATAGACCATCTGAATATCTGCTGGAAGTTTCAGTTTTTTTTTTTGTTTGTTTGTTTTTTGTTTCGTGGTGCTGGGGATTGAACCCAGGGCCTTATGCATACAAGACAAGCACTCTACCAACTGAGCTATACCCCCAGCCCAGTTTCATTATTCTGATGGCAGCACATCTGGCAAGTTTGTGACTCTCTTCCTGATAATTACAGTTTGCACACAAATGAGAAATAATGAATACATTGCTAAGCTGGGCTTAAAACAACCAATAAGAAAGATCTGGTTAGCAAAGTGAAAGTGACAGGAATCTTGGGGAAAGTGACCATGCCATCTGGATCTGTTAAGCAAAAGAATTGGTCACATAGGTTAATTGGCGTGTGTGTGTGTGTGTGTGTGTGTGTATGTGTAGAGCTCAGAGAAAAAGTAAGTGTGATATCCTGTTCAGATACCAAAAAGGAAAATTCAAGAGGGAGGGGGATCCAAAAACAAAATATAGATCTGCACAATTTAGCGAAATTCCAGTGAGAAATTAAACAGGAGAGATATCTAATAAACTACAGGATCCGTATAGATTATTCTCTGATGAGCTCACATTTTATAAGTACATGTAAAGATGACAGAAGGAGGACTAGGCTTCCTAGTACAAAGACCAGAGTATCACAAATCTCCAGGAACTGAATCATAAGGACAAAAGTCCAGAATATACCCAGGCTCATAAAATGGGAAGAACTGCAATAAAGTGTTCTAATGCTATATTTAGTGCAAGACATTTAAGGATAAAGAAGTAGAACTTAATTGTGGTGTGTGTGATAAAGAACTGGGGGGAGGGATCTTGTCTGTGAATTGGTAATGCCCCAAAGGGCTGAATGTTGGGCTGGACAGCTCAGGGGGACTAAATGGTAGAAGCTTCATGAAGGTAGATTTCAGCTTGACAAGAAATTACTTTCTAAAATATGAGGTATTTCAAGGTCAAATATGTTGCTGTGTGATGTGGTGCACTTCCCATTCCTGGAAATGCTAAAATTTGAGGTAGACTAGCCACTTAATATGGACATTGTGGAGGGGATTGCTGTGTTGGTTGGGAAGGGAGGTCTACAGGCCTTCCAGTTCTATGATTATATGGCTCTATAGTTTTTTTGATGGGGAGGGTAGGGTGGGTACTGGGGATTGAACTCAGGGGCACTTGACCACTGAGCCACATCCCCAGCCCTGTTTTGAATTTTTTTTCTGAATCTGTTGCATTTTATCAAAGAAGTATTTTGCATTTGCAGAGGCACTGAAAGGTTATTGAACCAGTAGGCAACATAAAGGTTACTGCATTCTTTTGAAGAATTGTATTATATATGTTCTTTTTTTAAACTTTAAATTTATTTATTTATTCTAATTTGTTATACATGACAGCAGAATATATTTCAATTCATAGTACCCATACAGAGCTAGATCCATAATTTTTTTTAAAAAATATGCATTTGTAAATTAAAAGTTAATAGTTGTTTTCTAATGATTTACTCAGGCTTTTCTTAAAATGCTGCCATTTGAGATGATAACAATTTCACCCAGTAAAACATCTTGATATTTAACTGATAGGTCTAAAAAATCCTTTCAGAATTAAATCCAGATCTCAGATGTTGCGGTTGAAGCACCTGCCTGCCTTTTTGTTTTCCTTCCTTATTCATAGTAAAAAGAAAAAGCAAAAGGAACAAATGCAATAACCTCTTCTTTGTCTTCCTAAAAATGTAAGCTGATTTTCAGAAGGCAGTTAGTAGTACATCCTTTTTCTTTTTTAAAATTTTTTATTCTAATTTGTTATATATGACAGCAGAATGCATTACAATTCAACTATTTTGTATTTTATTTAGAAACAGGGTCTCACTAAATTGCTTAGTGCCTTGCTTTTGCAGAGACTGGCTTTGAATTCATGATCCTCCTGCCTCAGCCTTCGAGCCACTTGGGATTACAGGCCACTGCACCTTAGGGAGGCCCTAAGCAACTTAGTGGGACCCTGTCTCAAAATAAAAATATAAATATATTATAAGATTGAATGGGTTCAAACATCTGGGTCCCAGCATATGGGGCAAAATAAGAAAAGTTATCCCAGTGGTTAAGAGGGTAGACTCCGGAGCCAAACTACTTGAATTCAAATTTGGTCTCTGCCATGTTCCTAGCTGTCAGGCCTTGAGCTCTGTTGCTTTTCCTCTTTAAACTTCAGTTTTTTCAGGTATTAAATAAGAATGATAATAGTATCTACACCTCAAAGGACTGCTTGAACAAGTAACAATAATAAGCAATAATGTATATATAGAACAGAGCCTGATACACAGTATGCATTCAATACATGTTTGATTTTATTACTATTAAGAAAAGTGCTACCTTACTTAGGTTGACCAACTCTAAATTTTAGTGAACAGTTCACTCAACCCTGCTTAAGTAGGGTGGTAACTCAGTTCTTCATTGTAGCCCAAAGGCCTACGTGTACTTTGGCAACCCTATCAGAGGCCAAAGGATTTGAATTTCTAAGAGGCGCTCAGAAAAAGTGCTCTC